CTTGACATGGGGCTTTGCTACCAGTATCACGGTAATGAGCGATGGTGCGAAACACAAAAGATGTATTGTCATTTAAGTGCTGGAGTGCTCAAACAATAGCCACTTGTGGTTTTCCAGCCAAATTTAAAGAAATTCCATTATCACGCTTGAATTCCATCACGAATAACTATTTTTTCTGGAAAATTCTTACCAAAATGCTTTTGTACGCTTGTAAACAATATAATAAATTGTCACTGGAATAATTTTAACAGCTGTCGGACGAGTGGGTTAGAAATGACAGCAGTCTGAAGTTGGTTGCAGTTTTTTCATCTCCCCTGTATTTCGGTTTTAATATGAATTTCATATTAGAGCTAATTCTCTTGACTTGATGATCGCCTAAAAATATTATTAAGTTTATTAATTTTCACAATACCTATAATTTCCACAATCTATTAAAATAATCTCTTAATATCTCCCTCACTTCGCCTTTCAACTCCCACATGGAAATTGTAATCCGGCCTGTTATATAATGTATCCGACTTCCACATTTTTTTTTTGACTTCATTACACAATGCAGCCCTTTTTCTATTGTTTTCCACTAACATACTTTTATTTATTTTTTTTCTTACATCCTCCATCTTCACAATTTGCAAACTAAATCCAAAAAACAATACCTTTCTGCTATAAATATCATCTTTGTTTTTGTTGCTTTGCCGATGGGAACAGCAAACAATTGCCGACAAGTTGTGGCAAAAGATTAAAGAAATGTTTTTGTTTTGCCATAACTCGTCGAAATCTAAGAAGACTACGAATGTTATTAAATTTGTGTTTGTGGTCGTTTGTCTATTGTCAAGTAAATAAATTTGTGTCAAATCTTTTTTGCTGTTGTTGTTGTCAAAGTTTTGGAAGAAAAAGAAACGCTCGAGAAAGTCCACAATAAATTTGTTAGCAATTCGCTAACCAAATGTAATTTCAGACCATTGTGCAATTCGGTGGGTAAATATTATGAGAGATGACACTGTTATTGCAGCTGGTGTTATCTGGTCATTTGAATATTATTTTATTTGGGGAGCGAGGGTGGAAAGTCAAATAGGAGATTTTTCAAACCAAAACAAAATAATTGAGATTTTGGTTTGCTTTTTGAGTCGGTAGATAGTTGGGAAGGATCAGAGGATCCCAGAGAAGAATTTCGAAGGAAATACCCAAGTGGTAATGGTACTGGAAAGAACGAGGCGTAAAATGGCGCCCAAATGTAGCCAAATTATGGAAGAATATATTCAAAATTTTCAACGCAGTCTGATGCGGGCCTTTTCTTTTTGGGGAAAAGAAGTGATTTAATTTTGTAATGAAATCTGTAGTTCGATGCTCTCACACATTTTTTCAGTTACCGACAAAAATCACAAAAAATAAAATCCTCATAATTTCAGTAATTAACGAAATTTTACGGCAAGTTAGCAACCAAAACCAATCCTACCGATAGCAACAGTGCTGTCAACCAGAAATTTAGGCTGAGAGTCACTGATGGAGTGCAGGATAGATATACCAAAAGGGTCTTTGGAAATTCGAACTTCAAGGTAACGAAAAGTTCAAAAATGGTATTAAACTTCTAAAATGGTACCATATGGTATTATGTGAACGGATAGAGCTAAATTTGTAATAGTTCGGTTTGAGGTGAACGAATAAAGCTGGAATTTTTAAATTTTGTATTAGGTGCCTGTTGGTGGTAGGTTTTTGATAAAGAGTTTTTGATTTTGGAAATGAGTTCTAGAAGTGTACCAAATATAGTACTATTTAGTGCTTGAAATCTGAAATTTGGTATTGGTGCTCATGTTATATGGAGGTGGTTTTAGAAATGTGTACCATAATAGTACGAAAAGTACTAAATTGTATTAATTTTGTTATTTGTGGTAGGAATAGGGCTGAAATCCTTAAAGTTGATATTGAGGTCTTTGTTGGTATCTGGAATTGAGATATGAAGTAATTTTGGAAATGTGAACTATAATTGTACGAAAAGTACTATGTGGCTATTAGGTGAAGGGATAGAGCTGGAATCTTGAAATTTGATATCTGTTGGTATCTGTAATTGGGATATGGAGGTGGTTTTGGAAATATAAATTTGGTATTGGTTGAAAAGATAGAGCTCAAGCCGTGAACTACAGGGTGAGATGAAAAAACTGCAACCAACTTCAGGCTGCTGTAATTTCTAAGCCACTCGTCCGACAGCTGTTAAAATTATACCAGTGACAGAACATTATATTGTTTACACGAGTACAAAAGCATTTTGGTGAGAATTTTCCAGAAAAAAGTTATTCCTGATGAAATTCAAGCGTGATAGTGTAGTGCAATATTTGGCTGGAAAATCCCAAGTGGCTATCGTTGGAGCACTCCAGCATTTAAATGTGAATAAATCTTTTGTCTCGTACAATAGTTACCCGACGTCAAGGAAGTGGACCGAAGAAAACAGCAACATCAGCAGAAATAGTTCGAAAAGTAAAGAAACGACTTGATCGAAACCCGCGCCGCAGTGGCCGAAAAATGGCTCGTGCGCTGAACATATCGTAATATTTCATTTGGCAAATATTGAAAAATGAGCTCGGGGTTAAGCCATTGAAATTCCAAAAAGTGCAAGAACTTACGCCGCAACAGATAGAAAATAGATTCAAAAGAGCTAATAGACTCGCTTGGCCGAAAGTGGTGAACTGCCGAATTTGGTTTTCTACGATGAGAAAACATTCGTTGTGCAGCAGTTTGTAAAGATGATTTGTGTTAACTTGCAAAAGAGGTCAGCTGAAAATGTGCACCTTCGCTTGGCCACCAGAACTCAAGCGCCGGCCATGGTGATGGTTTGGGCCGCCATAACAGCCGATGCTCGCTCTCCGCTCGTATTAATCGACATCAGAATAAATGCCGAATATAATTGCGAAAATATTCTGGAGGGTGTATTAAAGCCTTGGGCACACAAACATTTTTGCCGCCGACCTTGGACATTTCAACAGCACTCAGCACCGTGCGACCCAAGAATGCTTACAAAATGAGGTTACTCGCTTCATTTCCAGCGCACAATGGCCACCAAATTCTCCGGATATCAATCCGTTGGACTATTGTGTATTGTGAGTTTCTTGGAAAGCTAGGTTGGCACTAAAAATACCAAAGTGTCGATCACCCCAAGCAAGTGCTTCGCCGGGAATGGGCCAAAATACCGCAGAGCAACATTCGGGCAGCGTGTGACGGTTTCATTGGCCGTTTGAAGGCCATAATTCGTGCCAAAGGTGACCAATTCGAACAAATCTAAAAGTTGATGTTATTTCCGACATTTTTTGCTTTCATTGACGGCGTTTGACTTTGTTGCAGTTTTTTTATCTCACCATGTATATGGGAGATATACCTGAATCGATTTTCACCAAATTTGATGCGCTTGCTTCTAGATTAATTAATTCGCTCGGATGTGCCATAATTCAATCAACGGTATATATCGGAGCTATATCTAAATTTGTACCGATTCTCACCTACTTTAATATGGTTCATCCTAGAGCCACACAAATATTGTTTGGAAAATAATAAATGTGACCTGCATTTTGTTCACAAAAATACATGGAGAACCTCAAAAGTAACTATGGGTCTATTTCGCTAAAAGGATTATTTAACCAATCTATATAGTTTTAATTTGTGAGGACTATAACTGAAAACATTGTTTTCAACTAATAAAAAAGGTAGTTTTTAAAAAAAAACAAGAAACAACGTTGTTAATCCCTATTATGAAAGAACAGAATAAATTCGGTAACACCAAAAAAAATCTAAAAAAATCTTCTAGGTCTAAATATTTTGCAATCTAAAATCACTTTCATGATGAGCCACCCTGGATCCAAAGGTCCACAAATCATCTTCTAAATAAGTACTTATTAACGTCAATATTTTATTCAAGGTTGTTGAACTGGTTTAAACTTTGTTCGAACAGTAAATAAGTGAATGAATGCATCATTAACTGCAAATTCATTTCACACAGATGCAAACGACAAAAAAACCAACCAAACCGAACTGAACACGTCACCATAGGTCATTGCTGAGAGAATGCAAAGCAAAAACAAAAAAAAAAATTCCAAGGAATTTTTTATTTTTTCCACTTTGCAAGAAAATTTTCCACTGCTGTTAACATAAAAACACACACACAGACATTCACATGGCCAAATCGTCAGATGCATTCTGCTTGCATACTCAAGTTATGCCGTATACATTTCCTGCTAAATAATCTCGACTAGAGACAAAAAACTAAACAAACCGGTTCGTTTTTTTTCTCGATGTAAAAATTGCCTTTTGAGAATCCTGCAATCAAATCGATAATAGCTTGTCGATGCTAAAAGAGCAGAGGATATCAGACTATTTTAGAATCGAGTGGAAGTAAAAGTTGTTTTTGTTTTTTTTTAACCAGAAATACGTTAATTTCTTATTTAATATTTATTGTGGGCATAAATAAGACATTTTGAAAAAACAATTATTTGTTGATTTCGAAAAAAAAAAACTCAGTTAGTGGAAAATTTTCTGTGATCCAAGGTAAATTGGAATTTGTTCTGGTTTGCAATTACTGTGCATTTAAGACACAACCTACATACATGTCGTATGTGGTGTGTCGAATGGTTGAGGATACGATTTTCGAATAAGTCACTTCTGTGAAAAAATAAAATGAAATAAATGTCTGCTTGAAATCTGTTGGAAGACAGATATTTTGATGTCAACTCGTTTAGCATATATTCGATGTATAATATGTAATTTATTAATCAACTTGGGTGCGAATTTCTTTAGAAAGTTCTCAATTCATTGATAAATAACCGTGTTTTAAACAAAGGGCTTTATGTTTCAAAAATGTATGTTTTTATTCCCTTACCAAAAAGAGTCACCACAATGGTTTTATAATTTCTAAGAATTCACCAACTACATCCCCCCCACCATATTTTTTAAAAGTTCGTTTTGAATCATCTGAAGTTTATGTAAATGTGTTTTGTTTTGGTTCTCGATTTTCTACTTACATTGTTCCCTTTGGTACTGTCATATTCAGATTGTTCAATACTGGCAAGGCATTCTTCTTTTTGCCGTATGTCTTGAAGGCATGTCGTACTGAGACTGCTGCTTGGCAACTGCGCTGCCACTGTCCTGTTCCGCCATCGTTGTTTGTGGTCATGACTGAATCGGTTGTTCTGCAAAGGGAAAGAGGGGAAAAAAGGAATTATTATTGATATGTAAATAAAATATAATTGAAAATTTAATAAAAATATTATTTCCATTAATAAAAAGAGTTAAGAGATCGAATGATTCACTGACTGATCTAACAATTTTGTGTGACGCATGGAGTTGGAAGTAGGGATGATATAAGTTTTTTTTTTTGAAAATTTTTACTAAAAGGATACGAAAAGTAACTAAATATGGTACCCTAAATATTAGGTGAACAAGTATAGCTAGATTTCAAAGATTCCGGAAATTCGAATTTTAGTTTACGAAAAGCTACTAATTTGGAACTAATTTTTTTATGACGAATAGAGTTGGGAAGTTTGCCTGATATAAGGAGTTGGTTTTAGATATATGCACAATATGTGTACAAATGGTACTAATTGGTAATAAATTTGAAAATAACGAGCTAGAATTATGAATATTGGTATAGAGATCACTATGAAAGTGTGGTATTTCGATGAGAAGGGAATTTCGAAGTGCGTACTATATGGTGTACGAAAAATACTTAATTTGATACATAATTTAGGAAAAGGGCAGGAATTATACATTTTGGTATTGTTATTACTGTGTGTAGCTTAAAGATAAGAAGTTGGGTTGAAAATGCGTACTAAACAGGGTACGAAAAGTACTAAATTGTACTAAATTTGGAAAAATATAAGTATAATTGTTGACATTGTTATAGAATCATTGTGCTACGTTTACATAAAGGGTGGAGTTTGAAGTTCGTACTATACTGTGCACGAAAAGTACTAAACAGTACAAAAATGTTGTGAATAGCACAGGAAAAGAGGTGGAATTGTTCATTCTGCTGTAAGCACCACTTTGTGTGTGAGACGTTTGCCTCTTGAGTTTGAACCGTTTAGAATTCGAGGTGGATTTGGAAATGTGTAATTTAAAATGTCTGAAAATTACCAAATGAGTAGAAGGGTACGAGATGTACAACATTTGGTATTAAGTGTCGGAATGAAAGTGGAAAAATGAATTTTGATAAAATGTTCCCAAAAATGTGTGAAGGACTTAAACAATGGGTTGTTTTTGAAAAGGCGTAGTTTATAGTGTACGAAAAGTACTAAATGGTACACATTTTGGTATAAGGGCATAAATATTTCACATTTTCGCAAACGAAATAGCGAACATTTTCTTGTATTACATATAAGAATATTGATATTTTTACAAGTTTTCGATACGTAGTAGCAAAGTAGTATCAGGGCCAACATAAAAAGAGTAGTGAAATAATTGACTAACAGACTGAAAATCAACGCCCAAACGATACGGCTGAAGCTGGAATTTTGAAATTTTGCACGAAGGTCAGTGTTGGTGCTCAGACTTGTTATAATGCTAGGTTTTTGGAAATTCCTATTTAAAGGATACAATAAGTACGAACCTGTACTAAAAATTTCTGGAAATTCGAACTTTAAGGTTACGAAAAGTTCTAAAATAGTACTAAACATCTAAAATGGTAGCATTTGGTATTATGTGAATGGATAGAGCTAAATGTTTAGGTTAGGGTAAACGAATGGCGTGGAATTTCGAAGTTTCTGTATTGGAATCCCTGTTTGTGGTGTGAGAATTATAGTTGGGCTTGGAAACATGAGCAAACTGTACTAAGTGGTACTGAATTTGCTACAATTTGGTATTGGGTGAGCAGTAGCGCTTGAAATCTAAAATTCGGTATTAGTGTCGCTGTTCAAGTGTAGCCTGTATATATGGAGGTAGTTTTGGAAGTGTCTATTGTAATTGTACGAAAAGTACTAAACGGTACTAAATTTGGTTTTGCTTGAAGAGATGGAGATAAAATTCTGAAATTTGATGTTTCCATAACTGTTGGTATCTGAGATTGAGATATGAAGATTGTTTTGAAAATTCGTACTATAATTGTTCGAAAAGTACTAAATGGTACCAAATTTGGTGTTGGGTAAAGGGATAGGGCTGGAATGCTCAAATTTGATATTGGGGTCTCTCTTGCGACCTGAAATTGAAATATGGAGGTGGTTTTGGAAATGTATACCAGGATTAAACGAAAAGTATTAAATGGTACTAAATTTGATCTAGATTCAAGGGATGGAGGGGAAAATTTGTAATTGGACATTTATAAAACTGCCGGTATCTGAGTCTGAGACATGGGAATTACCTTGACAATTTGTACCATAATTGTTCGAAATGTACAAAATTGTACTAAATTTGGTATTGAATGAATTTTGGTATTGGATATGGCTGCAATCCTATTTTTTTATTGAAGTCTATGTTTGTATCTGAAATTGAGATATGTGGGTGGTTTTGAAAATGTATACCTAATGTATACGAAAAGTACTAAATGGTACCAAATTTGGTATTGGGCGAAGGCATAGGTCTCAAATTTGTTATTGAGGTATCTTTTGGTATCTGGTGTTGAAATAAGCTGGTGATTTTGTAAATCCGTACTATAATTGTTAGAAAAGTACTAAATGGTACTAATTTTGCAACACCCATGGTGTCTATGATGGAGAGATTTTAGATTCCAAATAAAACCAACTTCAATATTAAATATCATAAGAGTGATATGAATGTATGTTCAAAATTTGAATTCTCTATCTAAAGTATTGTCGATACCCGAACTGCACTTACATTCGTATACGAAATTTATATTTTTACCAACATTTTACCTTTGGAAATTTATTTTGACAAAATGTTTTAAATACAATCGTTTATTAAAAATATCTTCAAAAAATGTTCGATTCCAAGTTATCTTCTAATGTATTGTAATCACGATTTCAGGAGGAATCAGATTGAGATTTCTTTAATAATTGGCTGAAATGTTGGTCAATTAATGGCCAGGGCAATTATTTTCAAATTTAATTTGAATATCTTCAAATGAAACTGGAATTAAAAAGAGGCTGTAACAAGTCCCCTAAAAATAAGGACCCACCTTAAGTTTGATTGGTCCAAAAAATTTGTTACAAAAAAAATTTGTTAGGGTCAGAATAGAAACCTATTGCCTTGGGAGATGATCATAAAATATTTTGGTGTTGAAATTGATCAAATTTTTCTTGACTTTGCAGTCGCTCTAGAGGTCATAAGAAAATTGAAATTGAAAAAGACAAATTGTTACGGAAATTCGCATGAGGTTTGAGCTTAGAACAGGCCAGGGTAAAATGGACCACTAGTGTTGTGTGAAATTTTTTGAATGCTTATCAGCATGAAAGGGGGCCTAAATATAGGGGTCATAAACCAAAAATAACATTTTTGGATTGATATGAGTGTTTCCATGACTACATGAGTGTTTCCAGACCTTAGTTTAACCATTATTTTAACAAAATAAATAAAAAAAATCAGTATGAAAGTCTTACATCGATCTCTTTATACTGAAAGAGTTAAATGTCATTTAACAATGGTTACAGTGGTTAATATTTTGTTTAAAAATATTTACCATGAAATTTCACTACATAATTTAGAATAGGAAAAAAAAAATAATAAAAATCGAAGCAATTTTCTAAAAATTTTCCTCAATCGTATGAATTTACATCTTTCCATTTGATGTGATATCGTTTCGGTGCCTATATTTTACCACAAATTTAGAGCACAAATAATTATGCTAATAACACAAATTACAATATAGTCCAACAAAATTATATTTAATTAATTTTTCCCAATTTGACTAGACTATTTAATAACCTGCCTTCATTCGGATAATAATTTGAGTGTCGTTGAGTGATGAAAAGGTTTTGAATAAAAGAAACCGTAAGGTTAGGTTTTATTGTTCAAATAAACAATGAAAGACTTAAGAAACGAACTTGATCTTTAGGTCAAGTGATACATAACACATGCCACCGACAAACAACAAATACAGCATGCTGACATTGTGTGTTGCTGCTGTTGTTGTTTTGTTATTATCATCATTATGTTCTTCAAATGAATTGGAGAAGAGAAGAAAATTGGCCAATTAAAAACAAAACCAAACAAACGACTTAAGACACAAACTTGAAAAAAAAATACATTATTGTTGTGATTTTATGAGGCAAATGATCATTAATGCTGAAGAGAGAGAGAGAGAGAGAGAGAGAGAGAGTGAGAGGAAGAGAAACAGAGAATAAAGCTGCAAGGGCTACATTATCATGTTTATTGCGTTGAACCCCGCGGTGTTCGCGTTTTGTTTTATGAATTCCCATATCAATTATCATTTTGGTTCGTTACAAATATTAAAAAAAAAAAAAAAAACACTAAACCTTTTTTTCATGTTATCATTCAACTTGCATTCGCCATCAACATTGACAGAACGAAAGACATACAACAACAACAACGACAAAGGGTAAACAATCAAATGAGATATATGATTTTTTTCGTTCGTTCGTCGTCTTTTTTTTTTTGACAGCAAATGAAACTAGTTCAAGGTCACGGCTATTTTGTAGATTACCACCAACGAATGAACCGACAAAAATGTATGCAAATCGTTTTATTGTTTTTGTTATTGTGCTTGATTTGCCGGCCGCAGACGCAATGACAATGACGCGGTATTGGTGAGGGTTTTTTTCTGTGAATGTCTTAAAAAATCATGAAATGAAATTTCAATAGCAAATACCTAATGGCAAAACTAAACCATGTCAAATATAATAAAAAAACGCCAGACCATTTGGATGAATAAAATAGTATTCAAACAAAAATTTATTTTCAAAATATTTTTAAATGTTGTATTTCATGCAGCAATATATAGGCATTTTATTTTCTGATTGTGTAAATAGGCCGTTTGTGATATGCAATATTGAATAAATAAATCTGTGTTGAAGAAATCTAATTGAGGAATTTAATGATTTTTAGTGATCAAAAGCATTTAGTTAAAGAGTGTCAAAATTAAAAATTTTCGTGTATGAGGAAACACAGTCTAAACTGTCCTGCAAAAATTAATACAGTTTTAAAAAGTAAAAAAGGTGTAAGTTCGACCGGCCCTCCACCATTTGGAACGATTTTGGTAATTTTCAAAAAAAAATAACTGTTA